ATCGGTTGGTCCAATCACGTTCTTCTGGACGGGAGGTCAGCCCTGGGCTGTGGAGGGTTTCACGTGCGGGTTTCGCTGAAGTTTTTGTGGTTTTTATGTTTGTCTTGGTTGTAGAGCGAAAGTGATTTGGAGCAAGTCGCTAGCTCTTGAAAAAACGACATGGGAATGGCTTCGTGGCTCTGAAGGGACAGTCCCACAACCCGGTTTAAAGCCACACAGAAGCGTGTAAAGCTACTGCAGGAGTTTCTTGCATTTTTGTCCCGTCCACGGCCGTGCGTTTTGACATCTTTGACAGACCAGATACATGAACTACGGAGTCTGGCCTTACAGTACAGCTGTGTAATTGCTAGGGCCAGCCTGTCTGCTTCAGTGGGACTGTGTGGCTGGCATTCACTGATGTCTTGTTTGCTCCTACCGTGTATTGGTTTATGACACTGATGTTAATCTTTTGTGGACTGCTAGTTTTCTGACTTTACTGAGTACTGGATCAGACAAGCTATAATTTGGAATTTCATCCTTAGCTTCATGTTAAGCCCTGGTTTGAGCCAGCAAACCTTGGATTGTTTTCCCAGTGTAAACATTCATTTTGCTTTTTGACATGTGACTACCAACGCATCAGCATGTTAAAGGCTGCTGGTGTGGTAATACTATTAAAGTTATAAGGTTTCTCTGGAAAGCTTGATAGTCAAGAATTACCATTTTTTCCCCTCTTTATTTCAGTTGAACTCCTGTCACATAAGTGGCGTATCATCTTTGAAGAGTTTATCGTGCAGCAAAGCAAGAGCAACGTGGGCAGTATGTTCATCTGAGTGGAAGTGTGTTCCAGGTTTATGATTGTGTTCATCTGCAGGTAGGCATGACTGATTTTCCTTTCTTTTAGCAGGCATCACTTGATCAGTTTATACATGAAGCTTTTCTGGTTGATGACGGAGAGAAGATGGTCTCACAGGGAGAAACTCCTCAACTTGTGTAGTTTAGATCGAATCAGGATCCAAGGAGTTTTTTGATCTATTAATGACATAATTAACTGTCAGGCAGTTAATTTAGCTACTGTTTAATCAGTTAATTAAATTATATATTCAAGATCAATAGCAACAACTCAACAGATGTGGTACCAGACACAAAATGTTGATAAATGCCTGCAAATACTTAAACACCCTTCTATATCTAATTCCAAGGAATGGTCTAATTGTGGCCTCCCCCCTTTCCCACAAGCCCACATTCTCACTGTTACATACGCACACAGTTCGCTCTCAGCAAGTATGCATCTCAAGCGCGATCCCCTCTTCTGGCCGTGTGGGTCCTCTTGTTTACATACGCCTTCTGTGGGACATGTGGTTACTTTAACTTTTGTGTCTCTATGCAATCTACTGGTCCACACACCAGTGAGGAAGCTCACTGCAAGTTCACGTATATGCACTCAAGATGTGGGTCGCTACTTTTTGCACTATATGTTGTTACTGCACTAGCTGGAGTGAAAGCAGCTCACAGTGTCTTATGGGGAGGCTGCTCTGCCTGGCCTAGCCAGAGGTCGTGGTGCTGTTAGGGCAACATCTGGCCACGTCAAACTGCATTGTGACTGCTCTTTCTGTTGCACTTTCTTCTCCCTCTACTATTGCAAATTTGCATGCTTCTCATCTACATCTTCCCAAGCTGAGTTTGTTGTTTGAAGTCCTGGTAATCCCCTGGCTATAATGTTGGCAGCTTACCTCTCAGGTTTTTGTGTATAGAAGGCTTCTGTGCTATGTTGTGGTCCCAGTGGAAAACTGTTTATCTTTCTCCCCTTCTGAGGTACCAGAAAGAATGTAGTAATGAAATCCCGCTTCATCTTTATTGTTTTTCTCTGTTTATAGTCAGGCATTGCCACCTGCTGACAAGAGAACAATTAGGGTGAAAACATAGCGTGTGGCTAGGATGAATCTGTATTACTAAAGGGGTCTGAGTGTATTTAAACTATATTTAAACTGTTTCATAGGAATCATCATATTTTGTATGTCATTAAATTTCTTTTGGAAAAGGAGGGTGAAAAATCATTTTGTACGTTGTTTTGATGTATGCGTCTTCTATGCACATGCATATGCAGCCAGTTATTTAAATTTCTTTAAAGCAACTGTTAAGGTAATTATTAATATTTTTAGGTAATGTAATCAATTTAAAGTGAAAGCTATAATGGAAAAGGTAGTAGAACAAAATACAATGAAAGCTTTACAAATTTCTAGTAATTACATTTTTCATGGAATTCATGTATGGTACAGGCACTGTACTCTTAAGAAGCTAACACTTAGTTTTACCATGTTTGATTTACAGGTATGCTTTAAAAAAAATTAATAGCACAAATCTTCCACAATACTGTGGGGAGAAATAGCATGCCTTATCAACAGAGTGCAGTGTTCTTCTTGTATATTTGTTTTACCTTGAGAGAAAGCGGAAAGAGATATGCCTCAAATTACTTAGGCACAGGTTTCCATAAATTAGTGTTTGTGGCTGGGACACTGAATGCTTTCTGTAGTTGAATCTGTGTGGGAGCAATAGGTGAAGCACAGTAAACTGGACCCAGGCTCGTGAAAAAAATCTCAGGTTGGGAACTGAAAATTACTCAGTTTTAATTCTAGGTATTTGACTTGTCCTGCAGCTCCCTAGCAGTGACAAATATTGACAGAAGATTAATTTGTAATATGCGCATGAGAGACATTTCTGCTTGTCTCTCTTATTCACTGCTTCTTGAAGTCGTCCTTACGTCTGCTGTCTTCTGTCTGTGTCAAAATCATGAAAGAAAACATCTCACATTCAAACTTTCATGTGACAGATTAATGGGAAAGGATACGTACTTCATTCATCCTACTGCTTGCAAAGCTTTGTGAGGGAGTGGCATTTCACACTACAGCAGATTTCTCTAAGGTTGTTTCTTATTTTTAGGAGAAAAAACCCAATCAATTCTGTAGTTGCACTTGTGTAAGAAGGTCGTTTTAGAAATATGAAGTTAAAAACAATGTGTTCTAAAATATAGACGTAGTGGACAGTAAAGCATAAAGGCATTCAGTCAAAAAATACTGATTTCAGAAAAGAAGAAACTAAGAGTTATTTTTTTTCCTCATGTGTTATAATTTGACTTCACCAGGTCTGTGTTTTGTTTTGTTTTCAAATACATCTCAGAAAAGTGATCAAAGCAGTCACTGAGTTAAAGTGAGAAATATAACTTATATATATAATATATAAAATAAAAATAGCTGTTTTTTCATATTTTAATGAAACTAGTTTCTCTGTTGTATTATTTACAAACTAGTTTCTTGATGCTGGGGATGTTGCAGTATTCAAGGCAGTACAGCACATGTGACCAGTAGCACGAGTCCTTTGCAACCTGGCCTACAAAGCTTGGTTATGGGAAATGAGCAGATGCCTCATTTCCAAGTTGAACACCAATACTGCTATCCTTTAAAGTATCTCTTTTTAATCTAATAAGCAAAGTGAGATCTTGCTGTTCTGCATGAAGTAAATTAACTTTTTGTTTCTTTTTTTTTCCCCTGCAGTGTCTTAAAAAAAAAAATCCTCTGTTTTGGGAAATGTGCTGTGATTTAAAAAGAAGGTTTTTGCTCCTCTATGCAACACAAAAGGGGCAGGCAAAAGCCATAGCTGAGGAAATACAGCAGCAAGCAGGTGCCCATGGCCTTGAAGCTGATATGCACTGTTTAAGTGAAATGGACAAGGTGAGATATTCCATGCTGTTTTGAAAAATAGGTACTTAAGAGCTGCATTTTTCTTCATGTGCTTGAGTGGTGGCTGTTTATTAATATGAAGGCTGAGCACATGCACCCACCTAAAATATACCATCTAGGTTTAAATTTTTCTTTCTTATTAATCAGTAATTTGGACCAATACTCACAGATGCTTAATAGCTTTCTGCACACTGATTATGTAGCAAAGTGCTACAAAGAGACTTCTATGCAGCCAGCAGGGAGTGTGAAGATTCTCTTCATATTCTTCTGTTTCATTTCTTCTGCATTTGACAGTTTTGGAGATTAGTTTCAGGAAGGCGGTAAGGAGGATATTTGTAGCGCTGTTGTTGGCCTGCCTCTTGAATACATCTATTTCATCGAATTTGGCAAGACAGCTCAGAGCTGTGAGTTATTGATGAAGCAGAAAGATGTACTGAATTGAGAATCTGAGAATTGGGCACTGAAGAAAAAAAGTAATTTCTGCAGCTTTGTAGATTTCATCACTTAAGCTTTTCCTTACCCTTTACTGTAAATAAAGAGAACTTCTAGAAGCCTTGGTGTAACTGAGGAGGGGAAGGCAGGGTGGCATAATGTGCTGGACCAGGAGCTTGCTTGAATTTGGTGGTACCCCTTGTCAAGTCCTTTGGGCATGTTAGATCTGAGAGTTCATTCCACAACATATATGTTTCAGAGAGGTGTGTGTGTATGCCTTAGGCGAGGAAGTAAAAGGTTTCTGTTTGGTCGGTATTTGTCAATTAGAAGGCCCATCTTTATGCAGCTGTTGGGTATTTCTCAGACCTTGTCATCACTTAAAGGGATTGCTGTGAAGGTCTATGGATGGAATAGGTGGCTACAGAGTCAGTAGTCATAATGTGATCCTGTTGCCATACAGAAATGAATGGTCAAATACTGCTCAAGTCTTGGAAACATGGGCTGTTTCCAAGTAGAGTCTCTCACCTATACTCTCGTAGGTGAGAAAAGGTAATAAGTCTTTGGTTGGTTACTGTGGTTGCTTTTTATGCTTGATGAAAGACTGAAGTGAAGTGGGATGGAAGCAGTAAAATACAAAGCTAAATGGAGATCATCTTCGGTCAGTGTAGTCAGCCTTGGATGAGTTATCTGAATAAGCACATTTGCCACGATATGTATTTTTCTGGGTAAGACATCATCTGTGTGTCTGATCCTGTCCTCTCCTCCAGCAATCATTCACAGCTTGTGCAGGCTGCTCATTGCTTTTGTGTGCCATTGCTGTCCTCAGCTGAGGAGTACTTTTGAATGAAAGAAAAAGAATGGGACAAAGATGTAACACCAAGAGTATAGGAAGAAGTGGAAGGTAGAATAAAAAGCAATGTAGTTGTGTGAGGTTCTTGTTGGTCCAGTGATACATCAAACTTCTTGATAATTGACACAAATCAATGCAAGAACTCTGTCCTTCCAGAGGCCGGATGGCCTTGACTCTTCTTCTTAAGGGCTCTGTCCACAAACATTTGGCTTCCAAAAGGTCTTTAAGTTTGCAGAGGAGAATGTGTAGTGGAGCAAGCAAGAATTTAGTAAAATAATCATACCTATGTTCTAGCACACTACCTTTTACTTTCTATGCTTCTAGCATTTTTAATTTTTTTTTTTTTTAATGAAACCTAATTTAGTATAACTTTTTATGTGATACCAGTAGACCCTCACATTTTGTACCTGAAGAGTTTGGGTCTTTTTGTAAAAGCAATGGTTGCTTGTGACAGTGCACTGCAGAAGCTTTTGTATTTGTCCTTATAAAGTCAGCTGTGGAAGCTTTGAAAGTCTAGGTTACAGCAACAAGACCCTTAAGGCCTATTTTTCAAAGCTTATAGTTCAGTTTTCAGAGTCTCTGGAATTTTTGGGTACTTGGAGTTCACCTGAACATGTAAAAGACAAAACCTCCGTTTGGGATGTCCCTGGACCACAGCTCACTGAAGTCTGTCAAAGTGCTTGGGTGATATCCTTTCATGCTTACTCCCTTCTCTTATACTTTTCTAGATACCTGCTATCGGCCACTGTCAGGGGCAGGACACTGTTCCACGTGGTAATTTAAATTGCTCCATGTGACTGTTTTTAGCTTCTTCAGGAAGGTTTCACAAAAAATTGCAACAGCAAAACTCCTTGATACTCTATTTCGTTGTATTCCTAACCTTTTGGGATTGTGGATGTAAGGGGTAACTTTTTACATGCCTCAAGTAGAGATAAGGTTTGAGTGATTTATTGAGCAAAGTGTTTAGAAGATAACTCCCCAAACTCTGAAGTTTTGAATTGCAGTCCTGAAACTGCTTGAGATGAAACATAGCGTCGCTTGCAACCTTTATTTATATTTTCTCATAACCCTACTATTTTATTAAACTTAGAAAGCTGGGAGAGAGTTTAAACTGAAACCTACAGGGAGCAGTAAAAGGAGCTCGGGTTGCTCACTATGGCAGAGGAGGCTAAGGAGTGACCTAATAGCAGCCTACATCAGCCAAACTCTTCTTGGCAGCAGAAGACTACAACAGGAAGCAAAATCCACTAAGTGCAGCCTGATAAATTCGGATTTGACACTGATGGAAGAAGCTTTTCTGGGTGGAAGAAGCTGCCCAGAGAAGTGGAATCTCCACCCTTAGAAGTTTTCAAAATTCAGCTAGAGCCATAGCTAACCTAATGGAGTGCTGGCAGTTAGTCCCACTTCGAGCATGGGGTGGGGCTAGGTATCCTCCAGAGATCACTCACAAACAAGGTGTGTGTGATTCAGGGGAGCTGTGTTTTATGTATGTCGGTAGCTGTATGTGTGGTTCAAAATCCATAGCCCACAGGGTTTTTTTTGTTGTGTGGGTGACCTGACAGACAGTATGCTAGCACAGTGCTGCAGCCTGCTATCGGTGGAAAGCTGGAATAATCATAGAAACAGAATGCTTTTTTACTTGAGAAGTAATAAACGGTTGCATAAGACCTGAATTTATGGAACTGATGCACAGTCCAAAATACAGGCAGTTCTTGTCAACCTGGTATAATGGGAGTAGCCTCCATAAAACCATGGGAAATGTAAAAGATCAGTTTTAGCAAAGGGGAGATAAATGAATTGGGGTAGGGTGAAGGGGCCAAAATGAATCAGATTGTAGAGCATGGTGACTGATTATCTCTGTTCAGAGCTACCTTAGTTCCCTGAAAGCACAGGGTTTTTTAGTGGCAAAGACAGATGTAACATGGAAGGTATCAGACAGAAGCAAATGATCCCTTATGGAACTTAGAAATGATCCCCACAGTTTGTACAGCCACACCCCAGTTATCTGTGTGAAATTATCAGGGTTATGGCTAACTGTGTGATTGTGATCATATATACCAAATACTTTTTCTACTTGATGAAGCAAATACTGTAGGGGTTGTATATTTAAACTGAGTGCAGTTGTGGAGTATTCTTTGTGTATGTACTGGCCTGCTCAAAATGCTGCCCTTCGGCATTTGTGTATGGGATCATAGGATAATTCAGGTTGGAAAGAACTTCATGGGGTTATCTCACAGCAGGGTCAGCTGAGGTCAAAGCAAGTTCCTCAGGGCGTTACCTGGTCTGGTCTTGAAAACTCTGATGAAGATTGTAAATTGAATCCACAAAATGATTTGTAATTACTTGAAAGAATTTCTGTGGTTTAATATGGATAAGGTGCGATTAAACATTTTTCAATATACCTTTGGGAAAAGGAAGGGTAGAAGGTAATATCTAAGGCCACAAATGGGTATCAAATGGCACCTTGTAACTTACTTGTTCTATTACTTGTAGTATAACCTGGAAACAGAAAAGGATCCTGTAGTTATTGTTATTTCCACTACTGGTACTGGAGACCCACCAGACACTGCCCGCAAGTTTGTAAAGAAAATTCAAGACACGACCTTGCCACCTGATCATTTTGCACATCTGCAGTATGGATTGCTAGGTGATACAGTACTTTCTATATTATTGCAACACTTGACTGTCAGTGAATAATTTTTATATTTTCTACTTGTGAATCGGTTGTTTAGGTTTTTTTAAGTGCTTATAAAGCATTTATTTTAATAACGTGGACAGCTTTTTTTGTGTAATGTCCTCTATGAGCAATAAAGGAAAAGTGTCACAGAAATTATCTGAATGTAAGCTACCAATTTAATTTTTTTATAGTTTAATTTTCTTTGCATAAACAAAATACAATGTAAGCTATCTATTATTGTTGAAGTTTTAATTTCGTGTCAAGTCTCTATGGACTAGATGAGTTTACTTGACTGCGAGTAATTGAGCATTTTTCTATACAGAGCTAAAGGCAGTATAGAGTGTTCTTGAAATGCAAGGGTTTATGATCATCCCATCCCTTTAAGTTTGCAATATTTTTTTTTAGTTTTGAACGTCATATGCATCAATAGAAGGAATGTAACTTCAAGTTAAAGATTGATATGCAAAATACAGATTTGTCAAAAATGCATACGATACATCTTGAGTTGCTGATGGTAAGGTCAGTTTGTTGAGTTTTCAGGTTGTATTTAAGTAAACTCCAGAAACTTCTATTTGAACCTAGGTTATTTTTCCCTGACAAGTTTAAGTTGATAGGTAGGAGTGAGGAAACGTGTAGATTTTGAGTGAGGAAAGTACCCACTAGAAGGAAACTTCTAGTGGATATATGAAGTGGAAGTCTGAAATGTATGCAACCCAGTCATGTAAGGTTTTGAGAAGATGTTATGCTGTTGCCTATTATACATTACAGTTTGTGAAATGGTTAGATTTTTCATAGCTGACTGAATGCATATATGCATATATGAAGATAAGCATTGCATTAATACTGATTTTTCTATCTAAGTTGTAACATGTTTTGTGACTCTAATCTAAAATGTTATCAGTGTTAAAATACATTCATAGTATTAATTTCAGCTTGTCCAATGAAGTGTTTGCACTGAGTTCCTTACTTGAGAGGGAGCAGAAGTCTTTAAAAAAAAAAAAAAGACAAAGATAAAAAAGGCTGTTTTAAATGAGAAAGAAATATTCCATTGTTATGTGGGAATAATATGGATTGAAATTGCACACGAGAAAGGGTCAGTCTGTGAAAACCTGTGATAGTTATGATAGTGAAACAGTGGTGTGGATTACTTAGAGAATTTGTGAAGACTACCTAACAATTTTAGCCTGAAGTTGAGATAATTTATTTTGGTAATTGACAAACAATTTATCAGTTTCACTCTTTTTCTACTTATTTCAGTTTCTTACATTTTTCCTACAAGAGTGGTTTTGTATTTTTTTAAAAGCTTCAAATTAAAGCTATAGTCTTTTGAAATGTGAAATATTAATAGAAAAGTGTTTTCAGAGAAATTCTGTGTCTTACATGTCTGAAGGAGGAACCGGCTCTACTTTGGCGCAAACACAATTTTGTTTTTTTAAGGTCATAAAAGTGTCCTGATAATATGCACTTTGCTATATCATATTCTTCTGTTTTCCTGCAAGAAAATCCTTTGTTGTCTTTGCAGATTTTTGTGTGTGTAGCCTGGGTGTCTGGCTGATTGACGTGATTACTCTTTCCTTGAATTTGCTAGGTCTGGGAGATTCAGAGTACACGTTCTTTTGTAATGGTGGAAAGACAGTAGACCGACGACTTCAAGAACTTGGTGCCCAGCACTTCTACGACACAGGATTGGCAGATGACTGTGTAGGGTAAGAGCTGAATGAGTTTGGATTTTATTTCTTCAAGATGCAATAACTACATGTGAATTTGGCTAAACATACTGAACTCTGTGAAATCAGTTGGACCTGAATACTCAGCACTTCAAAGGAATGAGTCCTGTCTGAACACTATGCCTTCTCAGTCTCAACTGCCGTTAAATAAAACTCTGTTTTTAAATTGTGAGCAAACGTCTGTAATACCTGGAAAAATCGGGGGTATTTTGCAGTTCTAGAAATTAAGTAATAAAGAATAAGTGGAACAGTTTAAAAATGTAGTCTGTTTACTAAAACATATAGAAATAAATCTACTTCCCAGTATGTGTGGTGCTGGGTAATGGGATCTCTTTCTACATGTGCATCAGATTTTATCCAAGCTCACATCTTGCAGCAGAGCTGCTTTAAGCAAACCCTACAATGTTTTTATTTTTTTTTCTGTTCCAGAAAATGTGCCTTTTTTTTTTTTTTTTAAATCACTGTAGAGGAATTATATAAGAAGGGTTTTGTGATTGCTGTAGAGGAATTCTATGATTCTATGAAAACAACTCCCTTCCTCTTCTGTCACTCTTTCTGGCCAGTAGGCTGCAGTATTGGCTTATTTATTTTGAAATGCAGATTATATAATTTCTGTGCATGATGATATGAGGCAGTTGAACACAAACATTGCCATAACAATAAAATGTATATCTTGTGTTCTAAAATAATGAAAATGGAGCATTAGTGTAAGCTATTGATGTTGCTGTTGCACAATGAGAAGTAGTGTATTTTGTTACCATCCCTTCAACTTCCTGTTATAACGTTCAGCGTAAGAAAATGAATGAGAAACTGGAAGAAGAGCAAGGCTGTTGTACGCTTCAGACACCACAAATTAACTAAATGCAATTTTTTTTAAACAAAAAAGTAGTCTTGGTAACAGCTGCAGATATGTATTAAAAATGGAAAATTAATAGTATTTTTAGCTTTTGTTTTCTTTTCATTATTTCTAAATTAACAGTCCAGAAAGTCACAATAATTCATCCATTCCTTTCTTCTCTTCTTTTTCCTTCCTTCCCAGTTTGGAATTAGTGGTTGATCCTTGGATTGATGGACTTTGGCTTGCCCTCAAGGAAGCATTTCTATTGCAAAAAGACATGAGCAGTGGTGTCAATGCTGTTTCTAGCTCTCTCTCTACAGCCCCATACATTGTGAATGAACTAAACTTAAGCTCAGAAGTACAGAACTTGAAGCTAGAAGATGAGGCAGTGAGGAGTTCTGATGTTCTGACACAGAAACTGGTTGACATCAATCTTGTGGCTTCAACTAGAGACACTGAACCTTCACTTGTTCATTCTGTCCCTCCTGTCTCTCAGTCAGCTCTTAATATTCCTACCTTGCCACCAGAATGTATAGAGGTGGAGTTTCAGGACAACCATGGTGAGGTAAGGGCTTCACTTGAAATGATTAAATCCTCTAGCTCTGACAGGAGCATGAGTGTGTACTCCTACATATGACTCAAAAGAGCAAGTGGATACTTGTATAGAGACGTGTCCCTGAATGCAGGAGGTTTTTGAATTGTAAGTGAAAGGTCCATTTATACTATGAAAATGTAGTTACCACCATATGAGTTATGAATGCTTATGTCAAAGTACAATTTAGCTACATAACAATTTGACATTGCAGTGCCAGGAATGGAAGAATTAAAATGCTCAGTGGCTTGTGTTGTGATGGTGAAAACATCTTCCTGTAGAAAGGAGTATAGTACAGTTTCTGTTCAAATTTTTTGTACTTGCAGAATGCCTTAAGAGGGTGTAAAATTCAAAATCTTGCTTGATATTTAACAATAGGTAAACTTGTCATTGTAAAAACCTGTTCATAACTTTACTATTGGAAATGGAAGATGAACTGTGTGGATCAAAAACCAGTGTGTTTTTCCTGTGAAGCCATGTTGAGCAAAGATCTGCTGTACAAAGAGAAGAATTAGCATGATCTGGGAATCACCTTCATCTGGCATATTTACTATTCAAAATTAACTGGAAAGCATGACTCAGACTTTTCTGATTGTCTGCCAAAGGGCAGGTGTTTTGGTTATCTGTGCGAGGGAGCAGTGAGGGCTGGCTGCCCTTTAAGGGACTGAGCTGATTGTGGTGACACAGCCAGACCCATTCCCCAATACTCCAGCGATGCAAACCAGGAGATAGCAGCCAGGATCAGCCAAGAGTGCAGATCATCAGGCAAGTTTGTGGGAATGAGGCAGGTCCGGGACCAAGCTGGAATGTTGATCCAGACCTAGATTTGCAGACCAACAGCATCTGTGGCCAGCTGTGGGCATGGTTGTGTCTGAGCTGCCTACCAGTACTCCTGTGATGTAGCTCAGGCAGGGACTGAAGACCCAGGTCTGAGCTGAGATGGGGATGGTGTCTTCTGGTGAGGTTGGTCAGGACCATGAAAGCCCACTAGTATCCTTAGGGCCCTGACTCTCTCTGTTGAGAGTGTCAATGGGAATACTGAATCACTTAGTCTAGCTAATATAATTATGTAAGAGTATATGAATTCAGACACTGGATAGTTTTGCTTTTTCTTTTAAACCTCATATTGTGGTTGGTTTTCCTCAGGTTGTTGAATTAACTAATCCAAATTACTGAAACAAAGATATATGATTTAGAGTTGCTCTTCAATTAAAGACTAATTCTCATGTTGAAAGTGGTGCTACAGTGGTTAAAAGAGTGCATTTTCTTATTTTAAAGTCATAGCATGTGTTCAAGGTGATCTCTGAAGTAATTGATCAGGTTCTAATATTGATGTGTTAACTTTTCTGTAAACAGAAAAAAAAAAAGTAACTTTTGCTCTCAAACAGCAAATTGAAAAAAGCTGAATCTGCTAGTCTGAGTTCAGTGACAGATTAAAGGTTATAGTCCAGATTTCAGGTATAAAGCTGGATCGTTGTCCTGAGCCTTGGAAAGAATCAAATGCAGGTTTGTTTTTTTATCCTTTGGTACCATTTTTGACACAGTTGGCTAGACCTTGTCAAAAAGTAGGTCCTGTGTGTTGTACTTGTAAAAACAAACATGACTCTACAATGAAAAGAAGTGGATGCATCAGCTGGACTGTGATAACTGTCTCTGTTCATATGCCCTCCAAGTCAAGTGTATTATGCCTCGCATTATGCCTTGAACTTGACTTGGAGGGCATATGAATGGAGACAGTTATCGCAGTCCAGCTCATGCACAATAATTTGATATGGCCCAAGCCATTAATCACCATCTCAAAATTTTAAGATATTTTAAGAGAATAATGAAACTTCCAACTGTTGGTCTCAAGTGATTCTCCTGTCTCCTTTTTTCTTTTTTTTTTTCAAATAAGAAATCTTCAAATTAACCAATATGCTCTTATTGGTAGCATAATTCCTTTCCACTTGACATAGTATTGTTATGGACATTTGATATCTCTTCCATCTCTTTTCAGTTTTGTCTGTATTGACCTCAAATGAAGCTTGCTGACCATAATGATGAAGAAATTAGGGCTATAATCTGGTCTTCAAGTGACGACCTTTGTCAGAGGTGGTCTGGAATTATTCTTGGTGCCTGTTAACAATTCTTGGGGGACATTTTCACCTGTGTAGAAATGTGGTGTAACGTGTTGCTGTTTCGTAGCTTAGAGTTTGCTGGCTAGATCTAAACTTTAACTGTAGTTTATAAAATTCCTTTATAAGTTGCCTTTTATAATAGCCTCATCTGCACCTCAAAGTCTGAATCTGTAAATCTGAAATGATGTTTTTAAATAGCTTCTGTTCTACTTCTTATGTCCGTTCTGTACACCTGGTAATCCTTTAATTAGGTGGGAGTTTTCAGGGTTTTACCATAAATCCCATTCTCTAATTGGCTATTTTCAAGGCAGCTCTTGAAAAAAGAAACAGCTAGCTGCATTTGGTAGTAGTTTAGGTCCATTAGACTGTTCAAGCCTACCGACTTTTTATAGTTGGATATATGCCTGTTGCTGCGTGGATGTGTTTTTTAAAAATGTAGAGCAAAGCACTCTGTATATGGAAGGTTCATGTTTTTCCTCATTGTTTTGAGTTGCTTTCTTAGATTGTTTAAAAAAAAATTGTACCAGCACTAATTCCTGTATGTCATAGTAAGCTGTCATTCAGCTGATTTGCATTTTTAGTGTAAGCTTTCGTGTCCTCTTTTTCAGAATCCACATCTGTCCTCACTGATTTCAGAGGGAGCAGCCTTTGAAGTGCCAATTACAAAAGCAGTTCAGCTTACTAGAGAAGATGCGATAAAAACTGCATTGCTCTTAGAACTTGATATTGCGGTAAGTTAGTGATGGCTTTTTCTTCAGTGGGTTAAAATAAAGAGTAAAAAGCATGTGTGTTATGTGTAATAACTGGGGGGAAAATTATTTATTTGAATGTTTAAAAAGAAAAAATAATTCCTTATACAACAGGGTGTCAGCTTAGGCTGATCCATTTTGTAAATGCAAAACTTGATTTGTTCACTGAAAGATATGACATGACTCCATGTAAGTCAAAACAGAAGTAAAGTGTCAAATTAATTTATTTGTTTTTCTGCGAATATTGTATTGACTGAAATACTTTTTTGAAAGGGAATTTGCAGTGGAGAAGGGCAGGCAAGGAATACTGAAAATTAATAATCTTTCAGTTTGTAAATGTACAACTTAGGAAATATTCAGAAACTATATAGTGAATTGTGACTATTCCTTCTGGTAGGTGATGTAGACAAGTAATAATTTGACTAGTATGATCAAGTGATAAGAATTGTTAGCTCCTGAGCACTGTTTTTGCCTCTGGCATTCATTTGCTCTGACTTGTTAACATACTACTCAAGCTGTCAACCTCTGTTACCCTAGATGTAAAAACTGTTTTAGTTTGTTTAGGGAAGATCGTATTTTGTATACTGGTTTGAAGATGAAAGGCACAGAGTGCTCGATATTTACAAAAAGTCTTTAAAAGGACAATATGTTGCTTTTGAGCAGTTTTCCAAATTTGTAGGATTATGCCTTTGGGATATTGTTAACTATGCAAGTCTGTGTCAACTTCAGTGGAACGTCTTTAAATCTGTTATAAATAGTGTCTATTAAGCTTTGAGCAAGTGAGTCTCTGAGATGACATGGTTTTGAACGTTTTTTGCCTTTTTTTCCTAACATTCTCAACAGCCTGTGTATGCAGGTCACCTCACCTGATGCATAAGGAAAACAAAAAGCAGGAGGTTGAGTAGAGTTTCAGCAGCTGAGCAAAGAACCTCAGCCAACTAAGTAGAATCTAGGTCTTAAGATCTGAGATACGTTTTGGTTTTCACCATGCTCTTCTCTTACTGTTTTTCTTTTTTCTACAGAAAATAAAAACAGTTGGGGTCATTTCAGTCACAGTTCATCAAACAGTGTAACCAGCAGATTTTCTTTTAGTTGTAATGTATCTCTATACAAAGTTGCATTAATTATGAGGACTTAATTTCTCTGCTCTTCTCAAACCAGAAAACAAAGTATATCAGTAATGAGTGATCTGGGTTGATTATATAACAGATCCTCTTAATATATATTTGTTTTCCCTCTGTTAGGCTGCTCAGTGTCCAAACACTTAAACCAGATAAGGAAAGATTTTTATAACTAGTAAGGTTAAACCTGAAAAGAAAACATAAGTATTTAGCTTCTGTTGTGATCCAAACATTGAAGTGCTAGTACAGAGTAAAAGAAAGTATGACTTCTTGTGGCTGCCACAGTAGGAAGATTGAGGTTTTTAGGAATGGGCATGCTGTTGGCTTTTATTTATGATACAATTTAATATAAATGATCTCATGTTTCAAAACAGGATACAGTCTTTGACTACCAGCCTGGAGATGCCTTCTGTGTAATATGTCCCAACAACGTCAATGAGGTGGAAGAACTTCTTCACATCTTGGGACTTTCTGAAAAAGCGGAGTGCTTTGTTTGCATAAAGGTTAAGCAGGGCACTAAGAAGAAAGGTATGGTGTGATGCACTGATCATGAATAACTACTGCTTTCTGTGATGGTAGTAGTTGGTATGCATAGTTTCAACATTTTTATCTTTAGCATTGGGACACAGCTGTCATTTCATGGAGGCATGTTGGAAGTCACAGAGGTGTTAAAAAAGAGAGGATATGCAGAATGTTGCTACTGGTTTTGCTTAGATAAATTAGCTTCTGACTGGGAACTTGAGCCTGGCATTGGCATTCATCCATCTCATTATTTCTCTGTGGTCCTTTGTGTTTCTGGAGATGAGTCTTTAATGACATAACCTAACAATCCCCCACTTGAAAGTAAAATCTCTCCTTGGACGGCACTTCAAATTAGTCTGTTTTACATCCTAAGAGGGCTGCACTCCTGAAGCAGAAGACTTAGTGCTGCTGCAAAGTGCCTTTTAATGGGCTTGTAGGCCTTTGTGAATCTGTTCTACTGAGTCTTATGGACCCACGCTTCAGAAGGGATGCTGCAGATTCAAGGTAGGCCTGTGTACTGCCAGCTGGACCTGTGAGAACCACTCTTCTCTTGTCTTGACAATTGGTGTCTTAATGGTACTGCTGAGTTGTGCCTTTAGTTCTGCAGGATGGGGTGGGGCTCTTTGTTGTTCCAGTCTGTGGGTAAATCAGATCCCATGGGGAGATTCCCTGCATCATTGAGGGCAACACAAGGTGTCCTTTAAGTATGAGATGTAAGTATACCCTTGTTCTTGGACTTGGCAAGTAAATCACCTATTAATGAGGTGGGTTTACATGACAGGCTGTGTCATAACTTATCACATGGGATGTCCAGGCTTAGCTTTTCACCATCCTTGACCCCAACTCAAGAAACTAACCTCTGCTGACCGGGGTCAATGGCTAGGTTTGGTGAAGGGCGAGTGTCAGTTATGTCCTGGTTCGTACACTGGGGATGAGCCCTGTGTCTGCAGGGCTGGTCTGGCTGTTGTCCAGTCCCCAGCCCCACTGTGTTGAACACTCCTCCCCCTCTTGGAGAGCCCCTGTTGGCTTTGTTCCTCTGGGACAGAGTCCCCCCAAACACACCTGCTTCTTCACCAAAAAAAAAAAAAAAAAAAAAAAGGTCACAGGAGGGTACCAGCTTTTTAGCAATCTCTTCAAATCAGGGCTGGTTCTGAGCACCCTCAAGCTCAAAGCAGTGTCACCCAGTCCAGGGCCCAATCACCATCCACAGGAAAGCAGCAAGAGATTGAATGGTGTGGGGGTAATTCACAGGTATGCTACTTCTACTGTTTACATTATGTACAGATTTTACAGCATGTTTTCAAAGGAAGCAGTTAAAAGGGAAGGGTATAGCAAAGGAGGAGGTAATGGAGGGCCAAAAGTATCAGATTTTCGTAGGAAGGTTGGCTTGGAATCTTGTCCCTCCTGAAGGCTAGTAGATTTTTCTAGAGCAAATCAGAGCCCTTCTACCTGGCTGCATAAAATTTTAGTCTCTCTGTAAGTTGAAGATGGTGTCAAAAGCATGTTCAAAGTGAGGGTCTCCTTGAATAGGCACAGGGAGATATTCTCTCGTTTCTGCCTACAGTAGTTCCCTTTCTTTTACTATACTGATGTTGTAGGAAGGATGTAAAGCTGCTCTAAGAGGGCACTTTGAGTTCATCAGTGTCAGAGTACTCCATTTGGAACAGAGCCTGTATAGCCAAGTGAACATACCTTAACCTCTTGATTGTTCTTGTATACCAAAAATACCCCTATCCTTCCAAGGCAAAGTTGGTAAAATAATTGAGTGAAACTTGAAATATCCGTGCTGTCATCCTGTGTGTAAATAATCCAGGTTATTGCATCTCTGGCTGCCTAATGTAGCACTAACTGGGGAAAAAAAGGACAAAGCATAGTTAGAATCAGTAGCTAGAAGTCAAAGCCAAGAAACATTGTGGAGTGAAATCCCAACATGGAAGTTGGCTTTGTAATGAAACAATTCAGGACTTGCAGAGCTTATTAGTTAAAGGTGTTTTGTCACCTAAATGCTCCTATATTGCTTTTGGGTTTAGCTTAGAATGGAAAGTAGAATAGCAACTTCAGCATGACATGGCATGAGGCTGATAAGCCTGACTGCACTCTAGCTGACTACATGAAGGGATAGATGGGATGTCAGTGTACCTCCTTCCCAGAAATGGAACCTGTAGAGAATACAGGAGGGACTTTTTGCTTATACAGAAACTCCTTGGGTCTGCTGGGCCTCAGTAACTCCAGCTTGGTGCTGGCTGCATATACCGTTGCTTAGATCATTAGAAATCTTCAGCATGTTCCAATTTTCAGGAGTGCTTATTGATGGAGGGGAAAAAATGTGAATGTTCCTTTTCCTGGTAAGCATTCCTTTGAATTTCTTCAAAGTGGGACATGGCAACAAAGACTTGAGTGGTTTAGCAATTAAATTTATTTGAACACTCATGTTATACCCCTCTTTTTGTTTCCTGCTTTCCTAATAAGTTTTGACTTTTCATTAGAAAATTGTCATTGATACTTCATTGGAAAACTGTCTTGCTGTTTAATTTATAATTTCCAGTAACCAGCTGGGGCTCAAACATACAGAATTTAATGCAGTTTAGCTCTCTTGTATTTCTTAGAGGAACAAGCAGTCTGTGATGCCATTTTTGGATGTTAATAGATACACATTGTCTTTTGTTTTCTTCTCCCACTAACTAGGAGCAACTCGTCCACAGCACATCCCTGAAAGAAGCACTCTGAAATTCATTCTAACCTGGTGTCTGGAAATAAGAGCAATTCCCAAAAAGGTGTTTATGTGTTGTTCTTTTAAAGATAAAACCTTAGTAATTCTATGCTGTATGGGCTCTTACAGATCTATCCTTGCTTCGTGTGTATTTACAATGTTTCTTGGTGAATAGGGATTGTCAGTTTGGATGCTGCTCTTTGCACTGTATTCTGAAAAATTTCACTTTATCTGTCAAACTTTGAGATACTGAAATCTCTATTCCCATTCTGTAGTAACTTGATTCATAACTAGTCTGTAAGTAAAAAAAAAAAAAGTAGAAAAGTACTAGATATTTGGTGCCAGGTAACTGTAAGGTTCACTGAACCTGGCCTCCTAGGCATTTTAGAGAAATCTTTCTTTCTAATCAGAGGGACCTATGTCTGTCAAGTTTTGTCACTGAAAATACGCATGTTGCTCTGCAAACATACCCTCATGTCTTTTATTTTAAAGCTTTTCTTTAGCATTTCAGCAACCTGGCAGAACTCAAAGAAAGATCTTTACTTGTATAATATTTGTTCTCACAACATGGGAATATTATTTTCCTTTCATTCTGTGCCTGAAAAAATAACTGAAGCTTGCAACTGGAAATGCATGTGTATTTCTGGTATTGTCAAAACACATTTTAAAGATAAATTGTATGAAGAATGAAGCTAAACAGTTGTGCTTTTTTTGGATATCTGAGGGAAGTCAGTTTTTAGAAGGACCTTTTCCATCAATTTAGTGGATTTTGCAACAAAAGAGAAGAGAATCTTCCAATTGTTTCAACCTTTTCAAAACTGCATTTAACAATTTTGAAAATTTTCTCAACAATAAGAGTAGTCAGAGAGTGCTACCTGGGGGATATCACCCAAGTGAATTTTTATAACCCAACTGCTTTATTACCTGTTCAGTGTAGAATGTGCTTTATGTAACTCTATACTCAAAACTATTGTCTGGAAGCTGGGTGTTTGAACACACTCAAATTACTTTCCGAGTATTCTTTTGTGTAGAATGTGTCCTCTGATTGCACTTGGTGTTTTGGATCACTTTTCTTGTATGCACTGTGTCTATTTCCACCTTGCTCTTGAAAAAAACCTTGTAACTATTTACATCTGATTTTTACTGTACCTTACAATGCTCAATTTAATTTTCCCTTAAGCTTGCAATACTGTTATGTAGACATAAAGTATAGAATAAAGCACCACAGCGACATTTACATGACTCATTAAATACCATACTTTATTTACAGTAATACCTCTTCTAAGACTTTTTATTATTCCTTTCCTGGCTTCTGTAACTTAGCAAATGGTGTTTTGTCTTGAATTAGTTTGTGTTATGGAACTGTTTACTTAACTAAAGTGCAAATACATAAATAAGAAAGCCTTTCATCAATTTAGGATTTATTAGGGAATGGGTTGTGCCTGTTTCAATTTGTCTCTCCCTCACTCAGGCTAAGTAGGATTTTCGGACCTGCTAGCTTGTCCCAGACATTAGAGGAGCAGCCAAAAAAAAAAAAAAAAAAAAAGGAAGAAGAAAAGAAAAATGTAAATTTTCGTAGTAGGTGAAAGTGTGCATTGGAAAATAAATTGTATTATCCATTAACCTGTCAGGTGACTGCTTCCTGTCCCCAGACATCCCAGGTTTTTCTCAGATTTGTGACCATTTTCCCAAATGGACGGGTGTTTTTACCCTTCATTCTTGTTTTCTTCCTTGCAGGCATTTTTGCGAGCTCTTGTAGAATGTACCAGTAATGTGGGAGAAAAACGGAGGCTTCAAGAGCTTTGCAGTAAACAAGGAGCCTCTGACTACACACGCTTTATTAGGGATTCTAATGTTTGCTTGCTGGATTTACTTCACGCTTTTCCAAGCTGCAAGCCTTCACTTAACCTGTTAATTGGTAAGTGACTGATTTAGATTTAGTTAAATTTAGTTTTTTGAAAAATGCATTCAGTTTCCCAAGAAAGGGGAATAACTGTTCAGTTAACTGCTTTAGAAATAGTATAGAATCCATAGTGATCAAACTAAAACTATTGTTGGGGAGCAAAGCTCTGTTCTGCAGTTTGTAGTCTTTGCCTTTCATTCTGCAAACACTTATGCACATACCTATGCTTCAAATGACTCTGGATTGGTCCTGTGCATAAAAATAAGCATCAAGTGTCTGCAGGGTAAAGGTCTTTAAGCAACAGTTCATCAACTGCTTACAATTAAAAAAGACATGTTTTTACAACTCCTGATTTCCCTGCCTACATGTTCTTTTCTTGTACTCTTACCAGTTAAAACAGAAAGCTTTTCCCAGTATGTTTTTATTTATGTAATATCCAACACACTCACTTCACTGGTTTCCTTATATAAAACATTGAAGGAATGATACTCCAACTGTAACTATCTCAAGTACATCTAAAAATACTAAATTATTTTCCAGATAAACACCAGAATTTCTTAATATGTTTCATTATATGAAACAAAAAAATTGCTTTCTATGTTCTTGCAAACGTCTTCTCCACGCCTGCCCCAAGTCTCTCTTTCTTAAGTACTCTGTGGGATTTTAAAAAATAAATACAAACTCTGCTCCACTTCATACAAATACATGAATTTTCACAGTGAAAGCGAAACCAGTTAGTTTTTCAAACGTGGTGTGGAACGTGCTGCAGCAACTGAACTGAATAAAAGGAAATTTTGAAAGGTTTTTAAATGTGTTCCCCCAGGGAAACAATGTGCTGAATGGGCTTAGTGTCTTCTTTAAGTGATTTCGCTGAACTAGCTTTTCTTAGGTCTGACTTGCAACTATCTTATGTAGCATCTTTAAAATACATCAGGGTGTCCACGTACTGGTTGGTACACCTGCAAAAGGGTGGTACATGTGGCAAAACAACTAAAAAAGCTGTTAAGCTGTGTGTTTTCTGGCATTGGCTATGCCAGTTTTTTTCCAGTATTGCTCAGTTACTGTCACAACTCCCAACCACAATGTTTTCTTAGTGATATGTCTGTCTCCTGTGAATATGCCCTTCTCAGCAGTCTGCATGCAAGTCATTCCTTTGAAGGCAGCAGTGAGTTTGACCTTTTCTGTATATGTGCATACATATGTAGATGTAAATGTGTGAGTGATAGTGGTTTTCTCATTGAAAAAATGATGAGTAAAGTCCTGTCTCTGTTGTTGTTTTTAACTGTGATTTCAAAAATTTGCAGAGATACTCATAGTAGTTTGAAATTGAACTGACACATCTGCTTCTAGGACGTTATATATAGGAAACTTTCAATCAGGCGATTCCTATTCTCAGAGCTTTTGAGCTCTGTAAAGCACTCTTAGAATCCTAGAATCATAGAATGGTTTGGGTTGAAAAGGACCTTAAAGATCATCTAATTTCAACCCCCCCTGCTGTAGGCAGGGTTGCCAACCACAAGAGCAGGCTGCCCAGGGATGAAAGGTAGGAAAATTTAAATTTCAGGCTTCATCTTGTCCACTATCTACTGGCATCTCTTCTGTGCTCCTAAACAATTGTTTTTAATTGACCAAGAACCCCATAAATTAACTGATGTGGCCTCATTTTATGGGATCTCTGAGAGATGTTCCACAAAGTTGAAAAAACATTCAAAATAGAGTTCAGGTCTTTACAGCTTGTTTGTGAACCACAAACACTGACTGTTAATAGAGTAAAATTACAGTTATAATGTGTTGTGTAAACACTCATTATATATTTCCATTTTCATTGAGGTGAATCAAATAATAAGTGATACTTTCTTTTTTTTTGTTTTTTTGGGTTTTGTTTGTTTGTTTGTTTTTTAATTTTTCAGAACATCTTCCTAAATTACAGGCCAGATCCTATTCAGTGTCAAGGTAATGAAATATTCAAATTATATTTTCTTAAGAATTTGAGTATTCTTTTATCTCAAGTGTGTGTGTGTGTGCTTACATTATTATCTAAAGAAGAATGAGAGGATGAAGGATAAAACCTGTTGAAAAAACTCACAGGGTTTGACTATTTCAGACAACATTGTTTTGAGTGTCTGGCAAGACATTGGTAGAGTGCTCAAGAACAGGCTCGCACAGGTGTGAATCTGGGGGGAACTTGGGTTCCCTTCTGTGGGAACTGGCCTCTGAGTCAAAACTTAAGACGTTTTCTAACTATATTTGTATATCATGCAGTTAGCTGAACATCGAGAGTTTTGATTCAGTTTAGGTAGTTTGGGCTGCAAATAGACCTGCTGTAAGATTGTACGGCTATCTCTCAGGTTTGGGTGGTTTTTTTATGCTTTTGCCATTGCAGTTCAAGCTTATATCAGCCAGGAAAACTGTGTTTTGTATTTAATATTGTGGAGTTTCCTGCCTGTCCTGCTAGACCAGTCTCACGAAAGGGAGTATGTACAGGCTGGCTTACTGAGTTAGTTGCACCTCTACTGAACCCCAGTAAAAACACCCTGGATACAAAAGGAGGAAGCCCTTCAACTGAAAAGGTATGAATATTATATCTAAACTGAACCTTTAAATTTATGCATGTTTGAAACAGCTGCAGGTTTCATTGTTTACTGCTCTGATGTAATACAGATGTTTTGGCAGTATGCATCTTCATTTTGCAGTTCTACCCTACTTGTTAGCTTACCCTTCCCTCTGCAATATGTTTGGAATTTCATTACTAAGTTGCTAGACTCAGGTATCCATAGATGAACTAAAACATGAGTATTGAATCTTCCCATTGCTGAAAGGCCAGAGTAGTTTTCCACCCCATTGTAGCCTTAAGCGAGTCTTGGAAGATACTTTAATGGACTAAAATACCACTGTGCAATTAAATTATTATGGCTGTTGCTGTTGGAGGGGAGAGGTACTTGGTTACTTCCAGGAGAGGGTGGCAGATAACAGGGGGAAATAATAAACCTCTTACTTCTTCTCAGCTCTCTACAGTTTGCAAAGGCCAAGTTATTTATGTGACACAGAGGACAATCTTCTGTGGTATTTCTGATGTGCATCGAAGATGGTTTGGCATAGTGGGTATTATTAGGAGAAGGTACAAAGATGAGAAAGAGGTGGAGTAAAAAGAAAAAAAGAAAGAATTATTACAAAGTGAGTCTGAATAAAGTTTGGAACTATTTGCATCTGCTGCACAAGCTGGAATCCAGCATAGATAAATGTGCAGCAGTACACATAGATTGCAGAAATATGTGCAATACCAATACAAAGCAAATGAGTGTGATCTTATGCAAAATACCTTAGATTAGTTGAAGACACTTTACAGGATAAATGTGTTTACCATTTGCAGTGTATTTTTAAAAGAATGACCAGTTTGGATTTGTTAATAGAGAAAATAACCTCCTAACTCAAGTGTGGTTAGAAGTAGTAAGTATAACAGAAATACAAATATTGCCCCCTGCAGCAAGAATGGTACCATTTTTTTATCATCATCAAACCAGAAAAATAATCCTGTTTAACATTGTTGTATCAATAGTGAATTAAATAATAAGAAATGAGTAGTGCTAAACCATTCAGGTTTACAGAGCAAAGTTTAAATAACTTGATCTAGTG